CGGTTTCAAGCCGTTAGTATTGAAGTCGCCTGTGCCGTTCTTTCCAATCATGCCTTTTCGCTTTTCAATGTCTGCTCTGACATAGGCACTGAAATTGCGTAGCAGAACGGTGGATTCCGCAGTCTATACTTTGTGCAGAGCGTATTCTACTTCCCTCAGGAAGTAATTACTCATATTCTCTATCCGAATGGGCGCATAGTCCTGTCTTATAAGGTCAAAAGTTCTGCCTGTTGAAACCTCAGTCGGAAGACTGTTACTCTTCCACTGAAAGGCTGCCATTCAATGATTCTGGCAGACAGTTTTGGCTCTACCGAAACACCAACACTGGCCTGAGCGCGCGCCGTGATGTCGACAATTGAGTAGAACAGCTTCCACCCGCAAAGGCTCTGAATTCAAAAGCTCTATCGCGTCACTGATGAAAGTCGGTACGCTGTGGCCTTATCAGTTAGCTCTTGTTATTTCCTTCTAAGTGAGCAGATTTTGCAACTTCCGACTGTGAGTTCCCACTGTAGGTATCGTTTACGTGTAGCTTCATCTGACGTGTCGTAATGGTATCGCGTTGTCTGCCTCCTCCGTGCAGAAAGTGTAGCAAATCAGCCACTGAATGGTATTTTCGCATGTTCGGCAGCCGTTATCGTGCTACTATGCCCCACGGGTGACCTGAACAGGTTCTGATCGCCGACTTTTCGCAGCCTGCTTCGGTTCCTCAGTAATCCTCGCGGCCCTAGGTGATCCGGGGGAAGACAGAGCCAATATGACATCTGATGTTATCAATATCAGGGCAGGTGGCTAAGTTTTGCCGGAGATCTCGCCACGATCCTAAACCTTCCTCCCTTCTCATCCGGCGTAGTTGAAAGCACTGTTTGCAGAGATATCGCAAAGTACACGGGCATAATATATAAAAGACGAGGGTAGATGTCCGGAAGCGAACCATTGTAAGTGACATTATGAATTTCTCAAAACGAGTAGGGCAGTGCCATCACAAAAATGATATTCGAGAGAAAGGAGGTGCGAAGGACTGCCATCCAAGCAAACTCAAGATTTATAGGAAAGACGCCGAAAATTCGGCTGGTTCAAATAGGATAGGCAGACAGACAGCTGCTGAAGCCAATCTTCACAGAAAAAGCCGTAAAGTGGGTTCAGCATAATGAGGCTCACACCATGCGATATATCGGCATACGGCGTTGCGTTACTGATACTTTACCGATTCATGGTCGAGGGCGCCAAACAACAGCTGTCAAGAGCTTTTCAAGCTTTAGCAAACAGCCTTTCAGTGCACGGGCGTCCTTCAGTAGCTGTTCTAAACGTTCCAAGAAGACTGACATTTAATGAGTGAATATTTATGGCTTAATGCAATCGCAATTAGTCTCACGTTTTCAGCAGAATATTTCCTGTAATTTAAGCAGTAAACTCTTCTGATCGATTTGATGCATGTTCCTTGCCCTGGAACAGTATGTTAAGTGCCTGTTCTTGCAACACAGTGCCTCTTCACATGACGTAAGCCAGTTCGGTCTGCTCCCCATGGCAAGACGGACGAAAATTTCCATAAGATTTGCAGTAGAAGCAGACACCTTTGAGAAAAATGTGCGCAGCATTCCCATATTTACTTTCAACGGGGCCAATGTATCAGTTTTAACAAAAAGAATGGGCAAAGTTAGGATCTGCTATAAGCAAAACCAGGATTCTTAACGACTACCATTAGCCCCGTTATCGAAGCGGTGAAATTAACTCTGCGCAGCAAAACTGTTGCGTTTAACGAAAGAATCCTAGTCTGATTCCAACAGCAACAACGTAAATGGTCCAGAAAATTAGAGGTCAGCAATAACGACTGCTATTCATGGTGAGGCGCTGAAACGTTCGGATTCCTGATAGTTAACAACAAATAAACAGAAGAAACAGCAGGATGAGTTAAGAGCCGGCGAGTTCCAGAAACTAAAGAGAATTTCAGAACATAGGTTTGTTAGACGTTAGCTTCGCAACATTCTTACGATGAAAATGATCAACGCATAATTTCTGGGTGAAAAACTTCCGGCTGTGACTAGCACAAACATGGTAAACTTTATTACTTTCTAGCCTTCGCCACTACTTCTTTAACCTAATTGACCTTAACCATAAATTAACCCTTGAGGGGCGGTAATTACACACGTCATAGCAAACCTACCCTAACCAAGCTGATTCGGTAAAGAACTGTGTACAGTTCTCACTAATACAACAATGCAAGGAAATGGAAACAGACTCTAGCATACTGAGTTCGTAAGTTACGTGCAAAAACGAATGACATGCAAGGACAGCTGACAGCGAACGAACCATAACAAAGCAGTGGATGCGAACACTAGCAAAATACTAAAACTAAAGTAATAAAAACTAATCGTAAAAACTAGCAGAAAACCACGGTCAACTGAACATCGTTTACACAGAGCAGCAAAGGTGATGTCCTCTCGTAGCGTTCTATGCAACGAAAATCGCAATCGCAAAAGAACCGGCTTAGTTTATAATTAGGTATGCTGCTTTTTCAGTATAACCTTGTACTGACGTTTATGGATCTACCTTACCAACGTCAATTTCTGATTGAAAACTCAACATCACCAGATGATGAACCATCTAAAGCAATACTACGGTTTTAGTCAGCTGGTCCACATCGATTCGCCGATCACATGCTACTCGCTACTTGTAAATCATTGATCACTGGAGTTACAAAAGCATTCAACTCTAAAAGCTAAAGCATTAAACGAGTAACATAAGTAGACGTTGCCGAGAGATTACGTACAAATTGCGCCCGTAAGAAACCAAAAAACATGAAATGAACACCTATTATCAAAAAGCTATGAAATGTAATTAAGTCGAGTTATACACTTTCTGTACCGTGAGCATGCAGAAGCACAGTGGTGTAGTAGAAAGCCGGTTGCCCTACATATCACAACAGATTAACATACTTTTTGATTTAGAATCCAGGTATATTTCAGTTCACATTGTCGCAAGGAGCATCTTTCAACGCACTGCAGAGCAACCAGGATTATAAATGTACCAAGCATGCCATTTATAAACGGTACAGGAAATGGATTCTATCACACGAGTTATTACGGCAGTTCAGCCACAACTTTGACTTCTGCAATGTCAGAACTTCTTCGCTGAAATACTCATCCAATGCTGAGACTTGCAAATTATGAAGAGATAA